GCAGGATGCCGTGATTGGCAAGTCACTTGCTACTGCAAGGATAGCTTGAGTGCCTGCAGGAAGGCGTTGCATCCACAACTCGCGGAGCATCCCTACGTCCATGTTGGACGTGCCGTTGAGCTGTTGCATTTCGCGCAACAAGGCTGAGGGCATCCTATCTCCTAGCTGCAGATCACTAACTAGTTGCTGCAGACGGACCTTGTCAGAAGGTGTGATTCGCTGAATAATAGCCTGTTTAAGTGTCTCGTATTTCATTACTAGAGGGGGGCAAAGTATGATGTCTCTCACCTGCGAGGATATATTCTGAAGAACGCAAGATATTAGCTGGTTATACTTTGCGAAATCAGAAGAAATCTTACTAATATAAAATACGGCTTCTAAATGCAAAAACCATAATAAAGGATCATTCTCCCAAAAAGGAGGGGCCAATGCGACCGAATTGATTATGGCAGGCTGAACGGCGTCAACCGTGCATGGAGACGGCTTATCCTCTAGATTATCCATTGCAAAAAGCGGATAAAAATGTGGTAGATGAGAAAGCAATATGACCACAAGTAATGAATCACAAAATCACTGGAACGAGCTCACCAGAATGAAAATGCAAAATGGCGTGCGAAGTGTTCTTGACAGGAAGTCACCAATTGTTGGGCGGAATCGGGGATACTAGTCGGTAAGCAATGACACGTAAGACGTGTCAAATACGACAGTATAGAAGTCGGAGGAGACTGAACCCAACGTGTATTGTGTAGGCCACAAGAATAGGAAGCGAATCAGGCAGAGCGAGAAACGTGCAGCGGGGAACTCACCAAAATGGTTTGTGACAACGGACGTGCAGTCAGTTAGACAAAAGGACGTTTCGAAGGTTAAAACAACTATAAAATCCAATGTTACAAGATACTGAAAGAGCATGTTTTCTGTTGCACTACAGTGGTGAGTGCTGTTACTCCTTGTAGCTAAATGCGTTCATTTTAGGAAGAAACGCTATTATTTGGTCCAATGTTTGTGCATTATAAAGTTTAGTCCGCGAAATAGCATCTGAAGGACTTTAAATGTAAGTAATAATGTATTGTACTCAACTCAGTGATCAAATGAGAACTCCAAGAAAGGCCACCGGAAAGCTGCAGGTAAATGGAACATAAGAACGCGCTTGTAGAAACAACACGTGCGCAACCCATCTGTACTACTGCATCTGAGGAGAGGTAAGGTTGTCCATAAACTGCCATCGGTAAAACGGCAATTAAAGTGCTGGTAAGAGATAAGCAATAGCGTTTTGAACCGGTTTAAGGTGACCAACTAATCTATCTACATGAAGATCCTAAGAGACCAAGCGTGACATCAAGATATAGTTACATAACGACTCATATAAAATGTTTCTCATCAACAGACGATCAAGCAAACATAAAATGCATCATCTAGGACCTTTCATTCTGTTGTCCAGTCCGCAGGTAGTACTTATTACAGCAAATTGGCACCTACCTGACGCTTCTGAGGCGCTGCCGCACATTTCAGCTTACACTATTTTCCGCAATGGACGTGCCAATCAAACTGGAAGTGGATCTCTTATTTACGTTAACAATGAATTTCATGCAGCAACTTTACAAGCTATTTTCACTAGCAACCCAGAAGATTCTGTTTGGATTCAATACACGGGAGGCTAGCTCGACCTCCTAATCGGGTATGTGTTTAACCCACCAAATTCCCACTATCCTGTGAGCACGGATCCGGTAAATCTATTTCATGAAGCATCATTCGTACATACACGCCACAAGATAATTGGCAGAGATTTCAATAAGCCCAATATTTTATGGCTTGAGCGGTCCACACCTTCCAGGTGTAGGGCCTCCGTTGACACTGTTTTTACCCATGATTAGACGAGACATGTGTAAACTCCCAAGAGAGGACCAAACACCCTGGACCTGTTATCCACGAAAAGCACACCCAACGCATAGGCTAACGTGTTAAACAATCTTAAGTGTTGAGTTCACAAGACAGTGAGGCTTGTAGCGCCCAAAAAGATAATTCTTATAGTTCGTGTACAATTTACTTGTTGAGCGATTGTACATTATTCCTTCTTGTTTTAATCGTCCTTACAACCGGCTACACACAATTGCCTTGTAAGTTCCAGCGGTCACGTGTTCGCTCTCGTCTCGCTCCATCCGTCCGCTTCTTGTTGTAGCTCGTCGAATACAGTCCGCTGTGTCCAACTCCATTTGCCTTCTGATATCCGCGCTTAATTCCGCGCATCGTCTCGGACTAGTACTAACTAGTCCTACAAATTGGTGACCCCGAATTCGCACGTGCGAATTCAATTTCTTTTCTCGTTTGTATCTTTTTGGTGAGTTCGTTCCTTTTTCTGGATTATATACCTGTATTCATTTTTTCTTGCTTAATTTTAGTACTTTTATCGTATTTTGTTCATTCTTTATCTATCTACTCACATTTCGAGAGTGGCACCTGAGTCGTTTCACAGCGTAACCATGAAACACAATCCAGAAGTTTGGTTTAAGATAATCGAGATCGAACTAGAAAATAAGGGCATAACGGCGGACTGTCCGAGGCACAATCAGCTCGTCCCACGCCTTCCTGCGTCGGTTGTGACGCTGATTGAGGACACTCTACTCTGCCCATCGAATAAGACAAAGTATGAAACGATGAAGCAAGCGATTTTGAAAGAGTTACGGCCCAGCGCACGAACTCAATTTAAGCAGCTCAATGGTCTCAAGCTTGGAGATCGCAAGCCGTCGGCATTGCTCTACGAACTTCAGCGCATGGCTTGTCCCTTATTCTTGAGCAAAGAAGGGATAAAGGAGCTATGGTTTGCACGACTTCCAGAGCCATTGCCGGTAATGCTGTCCATGTTTATAGATACACCCCTGAAAGAATTAGCTATTAAGGCAGACGCTGCGTTTGATCGTTTTCCGCAGCAGACGACCAGTAACTCCGGTGACGTATCCTCGCCGATGAAAACCGAAACTCAACTTTGTTCCCAGTTGCTAGGCCGACCTGACTCTAAAGACGAGGAAATTGCGCTACTTCGCATCAGGATGGCAGCAATGAAGGCTTGAAAGCAGCGTGTGACACGGTCAAATGCTGACCACGTTTTGGCTACCGTTCATTGCGGCTTGTCTTTGCCTGCACCGAGTATGTCTCGTTCGGCACGAAAGCGCAACCTTTTCCCTACAAGTTCCCAGTCAGATAATGTCAAACACGTCGAAGTAGTATGTTGGTATCACCGCCAATACGGTGGAAGAGCTAGACGTTGTCGGGCTCCCTGCATTAGGCACGACCCAGCTGCTTCAGGGAAAACGAATAGCTCGCATACTAGCACGACAAACGTATCATTCAATAACCATGCAAACCGTCTGTTTTAGATCAGGGATAGGCGCTCCCTCCACACTTTCCTTATCGACACAGGAGCCGAGGTGAGCGTTATCCTTGCCACCGCGCAAGACAAGCATTTGAAGCACACGTACAATCTACGGGCAGACCACGACTCACCGAAAGCTTCATATGGTCAGCGCATGCTAAACCTAGATGTAAACCTCCGCAGAGACTTTCACTGGGTTTTAACGGTTGCGTGAGTACCTTTCGCAATCATCGGCATCGATTTTCTTCGCCAGTCCGGATTGCTTGTCGACGCGGGTCGCCATAGAATATTAGATGATTATACAGAACTAGGTGTTGGTGGTGTCCTTTCAGATGCCCCGATAATCAGCCATGTATTTCGGATCGCAGACGCACCGTCCGACTACTTAAGCCTCCTCTCCGAACACCTGCGACTGGTTCGACCGGTTGCAGAGCTTCCACCGGTCACGACAGAGATCGCTCACCACCTAGTTACGCGCGGTCAACCAGTTGGCGCACGATCAAGACGGCTTGCTCCAGACAAACTACGGGCAGCACGAGCCGAATTTGACCACATGCTTCAACTTGGTATCGTCAGACCGTCCAACAGCCCATGGGCGTCGCCTCTGCACATGGTCCCGAAGAAGGTCATGGGGGACTGGCGTCCTTGCGGCGACTACCGATCCTTAAATACAGTTACTACGCCCGATCGCTATCCGATCCCACACATAGTGGATCTCACCGCCAGTTTGGCGGGTAAAAGTATATTCAGAAAAATCGACTTGGTACGCGCATACAACCAAATTCCGGTAGCCGAAGCGGACATCGCTAAAACTGCCGTGACGACTCCATTTGGTTTGTTTGAGTTTCTGCACATGCCATTTGGTCTAAAGAATGCCGCGCAAACATTTTAGCGCTTCATCGACCAAGTTTATCGCGGTTTAGACTTCGCTTACGCGTACCTTGATGACATTTTAATCACAAGCTCTTCACAAGAAGAGTACATACGCTACGTACGAACATATTTAGATGGTTTATCTCAACACGGGGTGACGTGCAACGCAGAAAAGTGTTCGTTTGGTGTCGATTCAGTCAATTTCCTTGGCAATCGTATCCCTTCTGCAGGCGTGGTGCCACTGCAGGAAAAAATTCAAGCCATCATCGACTACCCCGAGCCGCATTCTTTCAAGCAGCTCAGGCGTTTTGATGAGCTTGTCAACTTTTACCGACGATTTATACCCAAATGCGCTTCGCTGCTGCAAATCCTCACGGACCTTCTCCGAGGGAACCTCAAGAAATTCGAATTTCCGGCCGCAGCAAGAACTACTTTTAAGTCGCTAAAGGAGGCTGTCACCAACATAGCATCTATAGCGCATCACGATCGGGCCGCCCCACTGTCCCTCAGTACGGATGCCTCGGACGTGGCAATCGGCGCTGTTTTACAGCAACACGTAGCAGACACGTGGCAGCCCTTAGCGTTTTTCTCGAAACGCCTACAACCTACCGAACCTTGCTACAGCACGTTCAGTAGAGAACTACTAGCCGTATATCTAGCGATACGTCACTATCGACAAGTCTTACAAGGCCGCTCCTTTGTTGTCTTCACCGACCACAAACCCTGACTTACGTGCTCGGCACGACTACTGACCGATCCTCTCCTAGAGAGTCGCGCCAGCTTGGCTATATGGCTCAGTTTACGACCATTATACGGCATGTCTCAGGTGTGCACAACACCGTCGCCGATGCACTTTCTCGCATCCAAGCTATCTCCGCTGACGCCGGCACTGCTATCAACTTGGCAGCCATGGCCGCAGCACAACTCAACGACTGTGAGGTTGATCTAATACGCGGGTCTCCCTCATTGGACATACGACCCGTTCCGCTGACATCATCAGACGGAACCATACTCTGCGATATATCTCTGGGCACACCGCGCCCAGTCGTCCCACGCGAGTTTTGGCAGACCGTGTTCGACGCGTTGCCCGGCCTGTCTCATCCAGGCGTTCGTGCATCGGTTAAACTCGTAACCGCACGATTTGTTTGGCGCCATGTGAATCGGACGTCTGTACCTAGGCAGCTGCTTGCCATCCTTGTCAACGCGTGAAGGTGCACAAGCACACAAGAAGCCCGTTAGGCACATTTCCGACGCCAGACGCACGTTTTTATCACGTGCACGTCGAACTTGTGGGTCAACTGCCGCCTTCCAAAGGCTCTGTATACCTACTGACCTGCATCGATCAATTTGCTAGATGGCCTGAGGCTGTCCCTATCCCAACTTGCTCTTCGAACACGGTAGCGAAAGATTTTATGCAGCGCTGGGTAGCTCGATACGGCTGTCCCACCATCGTGACCACCGATCGAGGGTCACATTTCTCGTCGACATTTGCCATGTTGCTTAAGGATTTAGGCTGTCGCCACGTTCAGAGGACGGCGTATCATCCGGCCGCCAACGGCATGGTAGAGCGTTTTACCGCCAGTTGAAGGCAGCGCTACGTGCGCACACAGATGCTTCATGATCTAAAACGCTTCCCCTCGTTCTCCTAGGCTTAAGAAACACGGTTAAGATCGACTTCGACGCCACACCAGCGCAGCTAGTCTACGGCTGCCCTCTGCGGTTGCCTGGACAGCTGGTAGCACCAGCCCCATGTACTTCCACTTTTGACCACGGAAGTTACACTGATCGATTGGCTCACCAGATGCATGAGCTACGTCCACCCGTTTCTCGATCGCAGAAGACACCAGTGTATGTACCCGAGAAGCTGTCTACGTGCCCGCACGTCCTTCTTCGCGCAGACGGTGTTTGACAGCCACTTCAGTCGCCCTACATAGGACCTTCAAGGTGCTACATCGTGCGAGTAAGGCGTGCACTATTGACCGCGGCGTTCGATACGAAGTCGTCACCATCGACCGTCTAAAACCCGTCTTTATGGAAGAAAACCCCTCGCCTACTTCGTCTAGTAGTGCTTCTTGCGACGTCACAACTCATCGCACCAGCTTACTGCATCCTAGTCTAGTTCAACCAGACCACGATTTCGGTCTGCAAGCCGTTCCAACATCTCCCGAATCTAGCCCGCCGCCTCCCACGACTAATCGCCTTGGTCGGGAGGTGCTTAAGCCCGTCCGTTTCTCCAATATATACAGTGTAAATATTTTTAGCTTTGTAGATATTGTATATACTTGCCCCGTTTTGGTCGATTAACGTTTTGAAAACAAACAAAAATATCAAAACTTCCGAAAATCCTTTCTCAAAAAATATTCAACAACCAAAAAAAGTTAAACACACAGATCATTCGTTTGTTCTTTTTGGCGTTTTCTGCGCGCGTTTTTCTATTTTCTCCTCTCTACGTGCCACAACCCACTCCTTCGATCGACTGGCCCACACGAGGGATGATTTCGAGCACCCTGACGCAAACACTGATCTTTTCTTTGTGGGACGAGTGTCGCTTCTTCGCCGGACGAAGATCGCTTCTTCGCGGGACAAGGGTCGCTTCTCCGCGTGACAAGGTCGCTTCTCCGAGGGACCATGGTCGTTTCTTCGTGGGTCGACGGTCACTTTGGCGCGGGGCGAGGTGCGGCGGGGTAGAGACCACTCCCAAGCGCACCGTTTGGCAGCAGCGGAGTTTGAGGTCCTGTCGGCATTTTTCTGGGCTAGCCAGATTTTGTAGTCCGACAAGCCCGCTCCAACGGCTCGACGATATGCACGCTGTCCTGCAATCAATAAATAACAAATCATAAACGGCACAGCAGACTCCGACTTCCGACAAACACCCATTTACACGAACGCACGCTCATTTTTTACTCGGCACCATTTTGCCTTACGAACCTCGTTTCAACATTCCTTTTCGATTTCGAAGGCTTTCTATTTTCAGCCTTCTAGAGGGGAGCTCTGTAGCGCCCAAAAAGATAACTCTTATCTTTCATGTACAATTTACTTGTTGACCGATTGTACGTTATTCCTTCTTGTTTTAAACGTCCTTACAACCGGCTACACACAATTGCCTTGTAAGTTCCAGCGGTCACGTTTTCGATCTCGTCTCGCTCCGTCCGTCCGCTTCTTGTTGTAGCCCATCGAATACAGTCCGCTGTGTCCGACTCCCATTGCCTCCTGATATCCGCGCTTAATTACGCGCATCGTCTCGGACTAGTAGTAACTAGCCCTACGGGCGCAGAATTTTACTCTTTAATTTTCCTCCTCATCAAGGCATTATGAAATATTCACTAAGACATCTCCACCACATCAGTTGGAAATCATTTTCTCCACTTCTCCGAGCAGCACCTTGGGATGGCTGCTTCTTGGCGACCCATATAGACATAGCGACTTGTGAGATTTATAAAAACCTAACGAATTGCTCAGACGCCTGTGCCCCAAAGCACACCAAGATAAGTAAAATACCGTCTCCCAATGACGCCATCACGCACAGTCTCTGCCAAGCACAAGAAAATGCGCTCCAACTACAACAAGACCAAGTACTTCCATCTCACAATTCGTATGTACAAAATTCTGGCCAATCGGGGAAACTCGCTAACAATTGAACAGTTATCAGCTGAGCACCCAGCACTTAGCACCCACAACAAAGACAATCTCCTGTTAGAGTTATAAAACTTCGGAGTGACCGCTTGATATACCCATTACTTCTCTCATACTCGCTGACAAAAGGATACTTATGGATGCAGTCGATCTATACGATTATGTTAACAAGCACTTCTGTGACTCCTTCACTGCCACAGAATTGATAGTACCAGATAACATACCTAAGTTCACTGGCGATCTACTGCACGCTATCGACTTTAGCCTGAGCAAAATCACGCGAGCACTTCGTTTCCTGAAGATGTCACATTACCCTGGTACATACGGTGTCTTCTCCACACTGCGGCAACTTGGGCGTCCGGATAGCCCAGTCCTATTTCTTAATATTTTCACATTGTCTAGGAAGAACGGCTTCTACACAAACACTTGGAAGCACGCGACGGTTGTTCCTGAACATAAACGAGGTAATCGTCAAAATGTAAATAACTACCGTCCAATTAGCCACACACCTATGGTCTCTAGGGTCATGGAGAGAATAATTAAGGAGATGCTTGCATTCTTACTGCATCGTAACAACATTCACAGGTCACAGCACAGGTTTCTACCACCAAAGTCTTGCCAAACTTGCCAGTGTGAA